AGGCTAGAGTCAGATTTGATACTGACCCGGCTGATTTTCAGGGCTTGGGCAAGTCTGAGCCCTCCAGCCAGAGCTTCATATTCTGCCTCATTGTTCGTCAGCTTGAAGTTGAAGACGATTGCATGGTAGATCTTGAATCCTTCTGGGGTGGTGAACACGATACCACCCCCGTATCCTCTAGGACCGGATGCCCCATCAACTGCCATCTCCCACCATTGCTCAGTGGGCTTGTTGACCGGTAAGTCTGGAGTTAGACCGGTCATTTCTACTAGGAAATCGGCAAGGGCCTGTCCCTTAATTGCTGACCTCGGCCGGTACTCAATGTGGAATTGAGTTAACATCATCGCCTACTTCACCATCCTCCCGAAGGACGTTGAATTTCGCAACACTGCACCTAGCGGTTGGTCAGTCAAGACTTCTACCGGGTGAGCTTGGAAGTAGGATGTTAACTTTTTTGCGGAGATGAAAAGCGCATAGGCTGTCTTTTCCATCGCCGTATATCTACTCTCTGCCCCGTTTAGTGCTTTGCTCACATAATAAATGGGCTTTTGTGCCCCATCATCTCTTATTAAAACGGAGCTTACAGCATTTGGGGAAATTCCCAGGTACAGATACAGAGTTTCACCCGGTTCGGGTTTAGACAACACAATATCCGACGCTAGGTACTCTTTCAGCTCCTCGAATGCCCTCCGGCATTCTTCGTCCCATGCAAATGCGTTGGCCTTCTTCAGAACTTTGAAGAAGGGCAGGGATCTCTTAGCTGACCGGGAAAGGAACCGGCTGAGGGCCGCTAAACGACTGGTCAACTTTTGAACATCCCTAACGGAGGTAGGGGCTTGCATTTCAGTGATAGCCCGGATTTTCTCTGGGTTGGGCTCTATCCCTCTTTTGGTCACCATGAATCCCAAGAACTTCCCGGTACGAACCGCGAAGACGGGTGGTTCAGAGATACCTGGCTTTTGATCAGCATGTCGTCGACGTATGCCTCCATGGTCTTTCCCAGTAGTGGCTTAAAGAGCTTGTTCACCATGCGCTGGTAGGTTGCCCCCGAGTTCTTCAAGCCAAACGCCATTACCCGATAGCAGTAGGTTCTTTCGGGTGTGAGGAATGATGTCTTCTCTTCATCTTCCTTGGCCATGTAGATTTGGTGGTAACCCTTGAAGGCATCCATGAAACTTAGGAGTTTGCACCCCGCAGTTTCGTCCACCATTTGATCTGGACTGGGGAGGGGGTATGAATCCATCGGACAAGCCTTGTTCAAGTCCGTATAATCCACACACATTCTCCATATGTCGCCCTTGGGAGCAAGGACAACGTTGGCCAGCCAATCCGGGTACTTGACTTCCCGGATGTGACCAACACTGAGGAGGTCTTTCACTTCCTTCTTGACGAAGTCTCGCCGGTCACTGGCCAGGTACCGCTTTTTTTGGCGTACCGGTCGACTTCCCTCCCTCACGGCCAACCGGTGGCAGATAACAGAGCGATCTATCCCGGGCATATCCGCTACGCTCCATGCGAATATGCCCGCGTACTCTTGGAGGACCCGTGTAATCTGCTCCTTGAGATCCTCGGGGAGATTTGCTCCAATTCTGACCATCCTCGAAGAATCACCCGGGTGAAGTTCGATTTCCACCGTCTCAGCCTCGGGTTCCAGTCTCTCCCTTTGTGATCTCTTGGGAGATGACATTGACCCCCCTGGTCATTTTCTTGACTGCCCGGGCATAGCATTCCCGGGCGTTCCTCTGGTCGCCCTTCACCTCACCCACACCACCTGGAGTGTGGAACTTCATGCATAGATGAGGCATGGAAATCACCGCCCCGACTTTATTGATGTCTGGCCTTCCTAGAATTGCGTTGTGGACGCATTTGATGTCCACAACTATGAACCGCATCTTCTTCCACACGGTCTTTTCACCTGATCCTAGTTCGACCGGTAGAACTATGGATCCTTCCGCTTCAACGGTGTCCCCCGTGAAGCCTGAGAGAGGGGTTTTGAGGGGTTCAAGTTGTGTTCGACACAACCTGAGTTTCTGGAAGGTCTCCAGGTATAAGATGTTGACACTGCTACCGGTGTCAACAAGTACCCGGGCGACATCCACCCCATTAATGTCCATGGTGATGACCAATGGATCATTGTGATCTTCACTGGTAGGAGGGAGATCCCGGTCAGTAAAGACGATAGGCTCCCTCCTAGTATGCTTACGCCTGGGCGGTTCAGCACTTACCTCTCCAACGTAAATGCTCCGGACCCAGTTCTTCCGCTGCGCGGCTGAATCTCCACCCTCGGGTCCGCCAAAGATCATGCCGATGTCTTCTTTTTTGGGGGCAGGTTGCCGCTCCCTTGGCCGGTTATTCCTCCACCGGTCATTGTCCCGGTCATTTCCTGGGGCAGTTGGCCTAACCCACTGATGACTCTTCTCCTGGGCTTTCTGCAAGTAATCTTTGTCCAGCTCTCCACTGTCGATCATCTGCCGGATGACCCCTTTAACACTCTTGCATTCGGAGGTGTTATGGGAATCAGACCTGTGGTACGAACAATAGGTGCCCGACCACTGCCGCCCTACTTGACCGGTAGGGTTTTCTGGTGGAATGACCGGTGCTTTTCGGACTTCTTGGCATTCCTCCGTATTGACCACTCGGATGACCGGGTCATAGTGGTCCCTCGGGCGGCTAGGTCCCGGTGCTTCTTCCTTCTTGACTTGCACCGGCTTGGACTTGTGACCATACTTAGCTTCTCTTTTTGCCCGGAGTTGGGTTTCAGCCTTAGCAAACTCCCATGCAGTATGGTAGGCCTCTTGGTATGTGGCTGGGGGTTTCCGGCAGAACTCCTTGTATAGTTCCCCAGCACGCAAGCCATTCAAGAGGAGGGAGAGGACGGTTTTGTCATCCATCTCTTCCACCTTGTCTACCTCTTCCTTCCACCGGGTAAGGAACTGAGTGAGGTTCTCAGACTCCCTCTGCCCGGCTGTACTAAGATAGGTGAACTTCTTCCTCTTAGTACAATTCTCCTGGAACATGGCCTTGAACTTTGAGGCCAAATCACTGAACGAGTCAATGCTTCCCGGGCGAAGCTTATTGAACCATTCAGTGTCTCGGTTCCGCAAGGTCTGGAAGAAAAGTAGGCACTTTTCTTCATCGGTGCAACCGTTCATGGTCGCACTCTGGTTGAAGGAGTCCAGGTGGATTTCCGGATCTTCCTTCCCGGTGAATCTGGGGGCGTCGATCTTGACCTTTCGCGGGAAAGGTGTCAGATGGACCCTTGTGGTGAACGGGGACCCTGCCAGGGGTTTGTCCCGGTCATTCTTCTCCCCGACCTTCTTTTCCAGCCTTTCCAGCTTTGCCTCCATCTGCTGGACGCGGTCGTTTGGGATGGTTAACCAGTTCGCCACCGGTAACCTGGGCTTGCTTTCTGCCTCCCCTTCCTGGTGGGAGGCCCTCGTCCTCGCTGGCTCCTGCCGGTTAGACCGGGAGCGCCGGGTGCGGGCAGGCTCGGCCTCCCGCACCTCGCCTAGCCGGGCGAATGCGCTGACATGGGCAACGCTCTGCCCCAGCCTTTGCTTGGCTGACTTCCTCTAGCCTTCCTCCCTATCCCCCAGCCTTTCGAAGGCGGAGTTTCGGGAGGTCGCTGGCCGGATGTTTTTTCCTTTCTTCTTCTTGTGGTCCCTCGGGATGTCCCACTCGCCGTCATCGCTCTCAATTGAGACGCAATGACCATCAGAAGTGATCTGCGGATCCGTAGCTTGCGGGGGACGCGACGGCCCTGCAGCGTTAAGTGCACCGGCCAAGTTGACAGGGGCCATGGTGCTGACCAGCTGGGGCTAGAAAGGTGATGGTTGCGGCATCGGCGTCTGGAACGACGTCACCGCCATCGGAGCTTGTAGGGGCATGGTCCCCGCGCCTGGAAGGGCGAATGGGAACATACCAGGGAGGAAAGGCATCCCCCCGTTCTGTTGGCACATGGCCATGACCTGGCCAAAGCCCCGGATGGCTTGTAGGTTGGCTGGGTCATTCATGAACTGAGTCATGCTTGGTGGGAACGTTACCCTCGGTCCAGCGGAAGGGACGGGGGTCACGAAGAGACTGATAACGCTGGCGGTCGGGACAGTGCTCAGACCCAGAGGCAACACCGGGGCTGAAATGACCGGTATGGTAGCAGCCACAGGGATGCTGGCTCCCTCGTTGGTGGCCTGCACCTGAGCGGAAGTAGCGTTGATTTGTTGGCTAGAAGACATTTCGAGTGGTGTTTTGGTGGGTAGGTTTGTGTTTAGGAGAAGAAACCTTAACGGTCCCACGGATGGCGCCAAAAATGATGGTGTAAATTACTTGACCGGTCAAACTATATTAGATCGGGTCTAGAATAGTTCGCTTGATTTGGCAAAGTAAGAAAGGTAAAAACACGCTAAGTGACCGGTAGGACTTTAGGTGGAACACCTGTAGCCCAATTTATATTATAACGGAGAATGCACGGGTGCTTTTACAAAGGAGTTTAGAGAGAGTGAAAATCGGATCCCTCTTTCTGAGGTTTACATGAGTATTTATACTAGGCTAAGGGGACAGGACCACGTGCGCCCACGTGGGGGCATGCTGCTGATGTGGTGCGAGGTGATTGGTTTCGTCCTCAAGCTGCCTTGTCGCCTTGTGAAAGGGATCATTCCCTTTGTCAAGTAGTGCTTTGGATGGATTCTCCAGCATCTCCAGTTGTCCTCTACTGACACGGGTCGCTACACGCCAAGCCCTCGCAGATCCTCCTCTGCCAACACTTTCCAACCCCAGAAACTACACCGGGTAATCTCCGAGGGATGAATTTATCGAAGTCTGGAACAAATAGGATGACAACGTAGTTTGACCGGTATACTTTTTGTGAAGTGTACCGGTCATATTTTGGCCGATGATATATTGTTTTGCTGACGATTTAAGTTTCCCTTCCAAAACTTTCGAGATTGACCGGTCAAAGATTCGGCCTTCTCCTTTGACCGGTCTTGGGTGAAATACACCCATCAATACCCAACAACACTAATATCAAATACTCCCTCTGTCCTAAAACTTTCTTCTCACTTCCCCTTTTTCTTTGTCCTAAAACTACCTTCATGTTAGAAAAAAAGATGACAAATGACATTAATACCCTCATGTATTTACACCATTGATCTTCTAACTATATATTTTGAATGATTGTAAAAAAAAATTCGAAAAATCTTTTTTAAGGAGGGTAAAATTTGAAGTCAAAGCCAAAAATTAAAAATGGGGAAAAGTCAAATTGTGAAGAAAGAATTAGGACGGACGGAGTATATTATTTTGACTTTATGACATACTTATATTTTATTCTTTTACTTTATTGTGTTTTCACTTTTGGGTCAGTCAAGTAACCAAAATTCGCAGCTCAGATTCACACACGAGATACAGTATTGAACTCGTCTCTTGAGCCATGCAATTCGAATATAAATTTGACTATAAAAAGATAATTTTAAAATACCTTATTATAATAATGTAGTTCAATTTTTGGTTAATATAGATGATTCTTAATGATTTATTAGAAATTTATTATCAAATTCTAAGATATATTTCGTGGCATTACAAACTTAGATCTTTTCAAAGATTGAAGTCGATCTTCAATCTATACTATATTTAAAAAGAGAGGAATTCTTAATTCCATTTTCCCGCCTAAACATTCAGATCACAAACGGTAAGTGCTAAAACTTGAAATGGTAAGTGCTGTGTATAAGGCAATTTCATAATTATTTACTCTCTCACTTTTCTTTCATATTTATTATTTATTATTAGTTATTAATTGTTAATTTTTAATAAGGTAATTTTAATCCTTATAAATTTTGGTACCGTGTATAATAAAAAAGGTAACACGTGAAACCTTAATTATTAATTATTAATTATTAATTATTAATAAGATAATTTCATACCTTATAAATTTTGGTACTGTGTATAACAAGAAAGGTAGCATTTGAAAGAATAAAAATAATATAGTAATAATATGATACCATATAATAATAATCATAATAATAAACGTAATAATAATAATAAAGGTAAGTTATAATAAAGAAACTCTGTGTTGCATTTTCAAGAATAACAAATTATAATGGCTTAAAGGTTCTGATATGTAACGAAGACAATGTTCCCACAAACTGTACGAATAATGTAGTTTATAAAGAAGTCTTTCGAAATTTCTAAGCAAAAAACTTTTGTACCTTAAAATAATAAAATCTCTATATTCTATTAGATATTACTCCGTATAATCTATCATTAAAAAATAATCTTAATTTAGTAACGTAAATATGACTCGTGCAACGCACGGGTGTGATGCTAGTCTTCTAAATTGCTGATTTCCCTTTGCACTAGTGATGAAAAATATAGTTAGTATTCGAAGTCAAAGCGGTTTAAGTGAGTCGAATGCTCCTTTAAATTTTCAATTAAAAAATTTGGTCAAAAGTTCTCGAACTTTAAAGATGGTGACTAAACTCTACGTAAAGAAGAGAATGCCCCATATAGAAGAAGAAAGTGAGACTAATGGATTTGAAGATGGTACACAGATAACAAAGGAGAAGGAAGAAATATAACATTTAATAATAAGGGCAAAACAGACATCTCATGTTATTTTTATTACCTTAAAAGGAAAGTGAACAAATAAAGTGGGACAACCATAAAGGAATATTGGATAAGTACTTATGGACGGAGAGAGTACTATTTATAAATTATACTCCATCCGTCCCAATTTAATTCACCTGTTTTGGTTTATGATGGTTGACCAAAGTTATTTTCTGTTAGATGCCTCGTACACCTCTAGAGGGGGGTGAATAGAGATGTTGCCCAAAGGACCAGTTTTTTTTTGCGCGGAAACGTTCTTCACGAATATTCAATTAAAACAGTGCATCACAAACAAAATAAAGTCAAGGATAAGAGCAATGCACACATGATATATACTGCTTCGGCCTAAATGCCTACATCCAGTCCCTGAAGCAATCGTGCCCAGGCCTTCACTAACCCGTCAAGCTTAACAGAGTTTGACAATCCGAATACAACTCGAGAACTTGATTTCACAAGCCTCTTATCTTACCACCAAAGTTTTGATTTCACAAAACTCGGGATTTCTTCCACCTAACGTTTGATTTCACAAACCGTTAGGATTTCTACCACTTGGTGTAATCCCAACACCAAGAATATAAATCCCTTACAATAAAGTAAGAAAACAAACCGCAACCGAGTAATTCTCCCAACACGGAGTAGATTGTTGCAAATACAATGAAGTCCTTTAGAATATGGCAATATCTCTCAGCTCAAAGACTCAAACAATGAGGAAAAACTCAAGCAAGAAATGATTTTGCAATCAAAACAATTGCCTTGCTTGGATATAAGGAGAGGATTGAGTAGAATCTCTTTGGATATTCAAAGGATATGTTTTTAAAGTGTTTTCAATGTATATTCTTGGCCAAAAACATGAGATAGGGTAGTTTAAATAAGGATAGGACAAAGTAACTACCCAAAGATTTGAAAAAAATGGGCGTTTAAGAGTTGAAACTGCCGAACTATTCGACTTAGTCGACTAGTTTTGGTGAAACTGCAATCTGACTTATTCAACTAGTTCTCAATTTGTTCAACTAAGTCAGAATAGAAGTTCAAGGATTTATTTGAATAGTTTTCAATTTATTTGAATAGTTTGCTGGAAAAAAATGTGTTTTAAAGGTAGGATGATAAGGGAATGAACCTTAGAGATGCCATACTCTTTAATACATAATCTAAGACTTAAAACACTACCTAACTAAGGAAACAACCTCTTCGGCCTCGTTCCTTCCACAGATGCTCAAGTCCCTTCTTCACGGACGAATATAAACTTCTTGTAGCTTTGATTCTTAGCCTTGATGCACAATATGATGATGAAATTTTGTCACCCTTTTGTCATTATCAAAACCTAAAAGACAATGGGCAAATGACATTGCAAAAATACATATTCATGATAGCACATTGTCCAACATTTTCAATACAATTTATTTGAGAATTAAGTTGGAATTAGAAATAAAATTTAGAGTACATATTTAAAAAACTATATCAAACGTTCAACAAAAGAGAAGTGACATGACTATATTATTTTATTAAATGAGTAATAACAACAGTAAAAGAACATTAATAAATTTGACCATGTAAATAGTCCGTATATATAACACCCTAATCCGTCCAGGTCTGCAGCCCCTTTCAGACTAAAGTATTAATTTGGTAATCGTGATAATTTAAAACATTTCAAAAACTTTATTCATCATAAATAAAATTCCATACATAACTGTAGAAAATACGAAGTGTGTAATAAAAATGCGGAAGCAACTTTTAAACATGTCTCATAACAAACATAATTATTTATTTTGTCAATAAATCCACCACGACTGTCTCGCCCCTTTTGCTTCCAGGAATATGCCATGCATTCATTCTGTCTACCTGCGTGTAGCAAATAAAACACACTACACGCTCAGCGGTGAAACCGAGTAAGCATATCTAAAGCGTCGAACATCGACATAAATTGAATCTCAATTCATAATCAACCATTTGATATCATGCACACAATATATGATTCAAACATTCATGATATTCTCACTATTTTATTACAAGTCATTTGATATTCAATATCTCAACAATGCTCTTAAATTATTCTTAATCTAAGGCCACATCATTTTATAAGCAGCTCTAAGTTATTCCTAATCTAAGGCAATATTTCTAACCAGGCCCTTAAACTATAAATAGTTTAATGCAGAACACAAGAATCGATAATCCACCCTATGAGTCATGTGGATTACGTACCAAACTGAACAGTGAACTGTCGGGTGGGTGATATCCGATCTGGATCCCGTACGTATGTTTTAACCCCGAATTATGAATTGGTCAAAGAGGTATATCTTAGAATTCTTCTAGATATCCTTAATAATCATCATCAATATACAAGTGGGTATATCTTAGAGTTCTTCTAGATATCCTTAACAATAAACACCGTTTTCATCATCACCATTATATTCATTTTTAGTCATGATTTAATCATCATTAATCATTCTAATCAGTATGTTTATCATTCATAATTATCCATCATAATTATTCAATATAATGTTTAATAACAAATAGCAGCCTAGTCTCGAATGTTAACACCCGAACTTACCGTCATACATCACATAATGTTTTAATTTGTTAAAAACATTATTTTTATTGTGAAAAATCATTTTTATAATAATCATAATCAATTGGTATCAAAAACAGGATTTTAGAGCTCAAAAATAGCAATTTCAGACAAATTTTCGGATCAGATTTTTGGGGGATCGATCTAGTAGTCTGGATCGATCGAGACAGTGAAAGAAAAACTCTAGGTGATCGATCCACCCGACTGCTTTTCAGCTACTGTTCATCTTCTTCAACCTTCGGTCCATTTTTCGGAAATACCATTTTTAGTCACCGAACTTCAATTAAACTATATAGAGATGTTTTCCAAGGTTCATAGATCATTTTATAATCATTCAATCATATTTTTAACATCAAATTTATGGTGTATGATTTTTAGTTTTTCAAACATGTCAAACACAAAACTCAACCAAATGACCATTTATGAACGTAGAAACGACCTATGTGAACATTCTAGTCATTAGATATATCTACGGGGGCTTACCTCAAAGCTTATCGAAGGTTTTGAGAATTTTCTAGCAAAACTTCCGGCGAGGATTACTCTGTGCTCCAGCGACTTCACACCAATTTGACAGCATAAATGAACTCTCTACTTCACCATGAACACAATGGTACTAATTCTAAGGAGATTCGTAGGATTTCCAACTCACGATCTTCATTCAACGATAAAGAGATTCAGCACGTTACTCCCTGATTGGGACTAATTGGGTCCCGGTCGGGGTATACTTTTTGGTCCAACTTTCTCCAAATTCAAATCCGTTTGCATCGTTGCGATCATACAATTAAACTCTATCCAACGATATAATTTTTACATTTATTTGTAATACTTTTTCCGACATTATACTTTTGGTATTTGACTTAGACAGAGTCAAAATTGATTTGTTTGACCTTTATTCAAAAAGGTGTTCATGCTAAATTCATATTATTTATTCTCATGATTTATTTCAATAAACCATTTCAAAGTTTACATCATAAACACATTATTCATTTATTCTTGATTTTGGGTTTGTACTCAGGTCCAATCAAGGTCACACAATAAGTCAACATATTGGCCTATAAGACTTATCCGGATTGTAATATTGTATATCAAACACATGTTATTTCGGCCCAAAGCCCAACAATAATTTATTTTAATCAAGACAAATTTGATTAATTGAATAATTATTCATTAATAATTCTAGGATATGTTTTGGGGCGTTACAGTATGTTAGCCTTGGTTTGCTAAGCCTCATGTTTTGATGTTAACAAACAATATAAGAACTTGACGTTTGTTTAAGTGTTTTAGGTACAACAAGAATCCATTAAGATTCGATTCTCAAGAATGAAGTCGAAACACTAAACTAGCGTAGAATTTAGGTAGAAACCGATGTAAGGATATGATTTTATATACCTATATTCACAAGCTCAAAAACACTCACAAAATATGTTTAAAACCCTTTTATAATTATTTTCAAACATCCAAAAGGTTTTAAACAAAATTGGAAATGATTTGGACAAAAATGAAAAAATTGTCAAAATGGTCATAAGGTACCTAGGTACCGTGAGTTAATCTGAGAAGGTACCCCTACCGTCAGCACGGGACCCCCCTACCGTCTGGACGGGACCCCCCTACCGTAAGAGATAGGTTCCACAAGAGAGTTTTGGCCTGAGAAGGTACCTAGCTACCGTACGGGACCTAACTACCGTGATAGGGTACCGTTACCGTTGGAACACTATTCCTGATTGCTGATTTTTGAATTAATTCAACTCTAATTACCTCCTAACGGCTAATTAACATCTTCCACTATAAATATAGGCCTAATACTTCATATTTCAACAAGAAACAAAGCTCCAAACATCATTCTTTATATTTTAAGTGTGCTCATCCTTTTATTAATTATTTTCATTATTTTGGCTATTTCAAGAGCCTTAAGATCCTGAATTTTATACACACACACTTTGAGCTTGTGTTTTTAGTTATATATACTCTCATATTCATAAGTTTGAATTGTATTTTTGAGAGAGTATACTTTCCTTCTACACCGGCTAAGTTTTGATATTCATTTTTATATTCAAGCCGTTGTGTAGAACTCTTGTTTGTGTTCTTCAAACACATCTTTATACGGTCGAAAATAGCCGTTAAATTCTCATATTGTATCGGTCGAGGATAGCCGTATAAATCCTTGGGTAAAGGTTCAAGGATAGCCTTTGAAATCCTTGGGGGAACGGTAGAAGATAGCCGTTAAATCTTCATTGTAAACGGTTCGAGATAGCCGTGGTGAAATCTCGGAGTGAATCCTATTGGCAAGGGTTGTTTGCCAAACTAGTACGATGCTTTGACGGAGTTCAAGAGACCGAGACTTAGTGGATTCGGAAATCCTTGAGGAGGAGCCTCGAGGTACTAGAGTAGGGAGTTCCTGAACCAGTATAATTTCGGTGTGCATTTTATTTACGCTTTTATTTTTTCGTTTTATATATTGCTTCCACATTTGCCAACACCGTTTTTATTAAATTCCGAAAAGTTTTCAAACGCTTTATTCACCTCCCCTCTAAGGCGTGGGCACAACGACTAAACCGACTAATACAGTATATGGTACAACCAGTTGTTCCAAAAGTAAGGTGTAGTCAGAGAGTACTCATTTTGAAGTGAAGTAATACTCCTTTCCGCACAAAATATAAGTGTTCATTTTGAAATAGCGTAGTACTCATTCTGAAATAATGCAGTACTCATTTTCACACATTTCTTCAATACAATTATAATATTCAGTTCTAAATAACGTAGTGTTCATTCTGAAACAAAGTAGTCCCATTTTCAAATAACATACCGTTCATTCTCTTCAGATTTTGGAAAGTACTCCCTCTGTCCACCATATATCTTCCCAAACACTATTCATATGGTCAAATATCACTCATTTTGTTTGCTCATTTTTACTAGTCATTTCGTAAAATAATATAATCTTGTCACCTCTAGTTTTGTAGAACTTTTCATGTAGTTTATTACTACATAAAATTTACTTACTCCGTCCCCCAGTTTTTGTCCACTTTTGACTTTTGGAACTGTTCATCTAAGCACTTTGACTCATCAAATTCTCTCAATGTGTAAGTCTAAATATAGTCATATGTGATCTTGTTTGATTTGTCTTAACATATAGATTATTAATATATAATTTCTATAATTTTTTAATATACAAATTACAAGATAAAATGGATTAAAGAAGTGCATTGGATGATGTGTAAAAATGAAAGTCGACAAATACTCTGGGACGGAGGAAGTATTTTTTAATTTTACTCCTATAATCAATAAAATTGAATTTAAAATAAAGTCGGTCAAGACTCTTGACGCGTAATGAGAAGATCTTAGGTGGACGGAGAGAGTATAATTCAATAATCTAATTAAACTTAAATATCGTCGTTTTCATCGCATCCCATAGCATCGCACTACTGCAAATCGATCCAGGTTCTGCATCGGCCCCCATCACCACCTACGCAGTCGCAATTAGGGTTTGCTAGAGTCGCCGCCACCGTCATTCGATGTGTGTTTCACTTCATCCCACATGGGTTCTGCTTCGGCCTCCCCTTTGATCCAACTGCCGGTCTCCCCTTTGTCTGCGCGCCTAACATTCCTTCGATCTAATTGCTGGCTGTATCGGAAATACGGCACAACCGACTCATTATTTACGATAAATACACAACTTATTTTAGAACGAATAAAATAATTCAAAAATTACACTAAACTAGAGTGACATGGCTAGTTAAGTGCATTAGCCATTAGCCCATGACCCTACATCAAGTGTGATTTTCAGAACATATGTAAAAATGAGTATATAGTGTGAATAGAGTAATGCTAGAGTCACAAACAAACAGTTCACAAAATTTACAAACTTACCTTTTTTAATATTTTCCTAGAAAATGGTGCACTCAAATAATAAAAGCCATTTTCCCGGTGGATATTGGTGTCTTGGAATTGTAGCATGGTCACCTCAAAATCCTCTGCAGGTGACGCGTTGCACAAACGGGGTAGAGTCAGTCATTCAGGCACGCGGCGTTCCTCAGTCCCAGACAGATCTCCCTCGTTCTCCCCAATTCAGCTTTACCGTTGCACTGTGGTCTGTGGACGGAGGTAACTCGTTCGATCTCAGTCCCAGTTCTTTGCCATTGTGTTATTGAATTTGGATCCGACCATTGTATCATGTGATCGGATTCAGCTTTTGTAGATCTCTGCAAATAACGGAGCTGGAGGGCTTTTGAATCGAGTAGCGCAGAGGAAAATGGCGGGCGGAGCTGCTGGAGGGTTTGTCACTAGAGCCTTCGAGTCCATGCTCAAGGAGTGTGCCAACAAGAAGTACTCTTCTCTCCAGACAGCTATCCAGACATATTTAGGTTCGCGTCTAAGTTTTCTAAAATCAAACCCCATGATCTACTACTTTTGTGGAACTTCATTTTCGCATCAAAGTTTTTGGTTGCGTATGTAATGGGATTCCCAACTCATTGCACTCGAGTGGGTTCGAATTTAGCATGTTAATGCTATACTACACTGGTGTTTATTTAACTGATGACAATAATTCATACCTTCAATGTCGTTGGGAAGGTATTTCTGTCAATAGATGCATAGGAATGGCTTTCCCATCTCTTCAAAGAGGTTCGAGTCTTCTACTCTATGCTCCATTGACTGCATTAACTTATACCATCTGTGCCTCAATCCTAGGGAGCTTGAAAGTCTCTTCTGGACTTGTTGCAAGAAAAGAATTTGGGTGTTAACCAGTTGATGTTTTAAAATTGGGTTCCAATTATTTTGTATATTTTTCAGATGGTGGTATTTGATGAATATCCATCATCCAAAGACATTTTGGGTGGTAAAATTGTTTCTTTGATTAGCGTGTGGTCCTGGCTGAGCCATCTTTGCTACAACTTTGGTGTTTTTATGATGTTGATGTTCGGATATGAATACTGGTTTCAACCTGTTTGGTCCTTATCGTGTAGATGGTGCAAAAGTGTCCAGTGAGCAATCATCACCCGTTGAGAGTAATGAAGCAGCATCAACGGACAGTCAGAGGTATGTAATCGGACAAAAATGCAGCATTAGTATGTTTGCTTCTGATTCTGGTATTGGACTGATCGTATTCAAATAGTCATTCTCACCACATACTGTTATTTTGTCTTAAGAGCTTTACCAACTCCATTTTGTAGCTTCATCTCTTGAATTTCTTTTTTCTGTAGCTCTCCTGAAATGGATGCAAGAATTGGTGAGGCTCACTCATCTGCAGCCTCACCAAGCGGGAACATCATTACAGCTTTAGCAGAGGCAGGTCACACACTAACTAGAGCTGATGCAGAGCTTGTTCTCAGTCCACTGAAACATGCATTTGAGACGAAGAATATAAAAATTATGGAGCTTGCTTTGGATTGTCTTCATGTAAGTCTGTCCCCGCCTGTTTTTTATCCTTCCTTGAAGAGCCATCCTGTGTTTCTTGTACCTTTCATTTGTAGATCAAAATATCGAATTATCCTCAGCAATTCATTATTGTCATGATACCGCATTACCAAGAAGGCGCAACACACAAACTATGTACTTTATGCAAAGTTTAAATGCTCAATAGCAAACATCTAAAAAATATTTGTCCATGCATATCAAATAGAGTTTGCAGCAGATATACTTAAAATAATGGAATAATAGGGATTAGGGACTAGGGTATTTGCACATAGATTTAGAGCTAAATGATAAGTTAAACTAATAGAGCCAAGAGAGTAGGATCTGAGAGGGTATGTGTACGCAGACCTTACCCCGACTCGAAAGTGGAGAGGCTGTTTCCAGGGTATTTGCACAGAGATTAAGAGCTAAGTGATAAGTTAAACTAGTAGAGCCACAAGAGTAGGATCTGGGGAGGGTGTGTGTACGCAGACCTTACTGCTACTCGAAAGTAGAGTGGCTGTTTCTGAAGGCCCCCAGCTCAAGTAACACGGATAGCACAAACTCACAGAAGACACATAAAGCAGGAAAAACATTGAGCAGAGAATGCCAAGAACAACTAATATTAATGAGAGAAAGGCATGGAAAAAGAAAGCACCAAGCATAAAAGGGACGCAACAATAAGTCAGAAAACTACCACCCCGTCCAAAACGCCTACCCAACTAACCTAATCCTAGCTCTCCAAATATTCTTATCTAGAGCCACAAGTATACACTAGAAAAAGAATGCAAAGTATCTGAAGTTTGAGCCTTTTGAATTACTCCATATGTTATTAAGTTGTTTCTACATAATTAGATGAGTTTTTATGACATTTCAGGTACTTGTAACAAGCAGAAAGATGTTAGTTATGGATATTATATGAAGCAATGAAGCATACATTTTTTGAGAACATAACAGAATAAGACATACAGATTGGTTTAATAGGACAGGACAACTTAAGCATTAGTTACTGTACAGTAATTATTTTAAAGTAGTGCCGTTACATTCTTCACTCTAGCATTTGTCAGAGAATACTAAAACTCATTGCATATTTGTTTGTTTGATAGGGATTCCCATTTCTTTGTTACAAGTTGCAACTGAAAATATAATACAACTTATATGCATACAGTTCAAATTGTTCCATAACATTCTTCGCACAAACCTTTAAGTGCAGAAACTCATTGCATATGATCATTTGGAGGGAGATATTGGTTTTGAAAATGGGAAAAGTGTGCCACTGTTTTCAGACATCTTGAACATGGTCTGCAGTTGTGTGGATAATATATCACCTGACAGGTATGTCTGTTTATGGCTGATCTTTTTCCTTCTCCAACTTGATGTATCTTCTTAATTGTAACTCCTGGAAAAATAATTCGCAGTACTACTCTTCAAGTACTGAAGGTACTTCTTACTGCTGTTGCATCCACCAAGTTTAGAGGTATGTGTCTATGTGACTACTATTAGGGGTTTTGTTGGTTAAAATTTAAAAATGAATCATGCCAATACAAAATGTTATTGCTTATTAGAATTTCAGAAACACTGCCATAAAGGCAGATAAAAGTACTATTGTTTTTACTTTAAAAATGTTGCCGTATTTTCAAATTAAGCAATGGCTTATGTATGGTGCAGTTCACGGGGAACCATTGCTTGGAGTGATCCGCGTGTGCTATAATATTGCTCTTTACAGGTATTTGCTTATATCTAAGAGCATTTGTGGATTTGATGCCTCACGAAACTAATAACATCATGATTAAATGTTTAGCAAGTCCCCAATAAATCAAGCGACATCAAAAGCTATGTTAACACAGATGCTTAGTACTGTATTCAGGCGGATAGAAACTGACCTGGTATGTAATTGGGTTGCGAATTAGAAAAAATATTTTCTTTTGAGGCACACACGTGGTAGACATTATTTATCACTACATGTAAAAGTATTGGCTTGTCAATTGAGGTATCTAGTTCATCTGATTTTATCTACCAGAAAGTGGTTGGTTCGGAAAGTGTAACCAGATCAAAGTCTGAGGAGTTGCCTTCGGATTACCAGAGCCAGAAAGATCTGGTGTTAGAAGATGCTTCTTCTGCAAGTGTGGAGGAACTTCAGAAACTTGCTGGTGGGGCTGACATTAAGGTATTCCATTCTAAGAACGTTATGCATTCAAATCAAGATACATACAGTCATACACACACCAACCCACGTTCATCCACAAAATTTGCTTCTCTGGATCTCTTCTCACGAAGGAAACTTTATTTTATGCTCACATAAACAATGATTCATCTGCCAATAAGGGTTTAGAGGCCGCTCTTGAGAAAGCTGTTCGTCTTGAAGATGGCGAAAAGGCAATAAGGTATTAATTCATGTCAAGGACAAGTCTGATATAATATGATGGAATAGCTCAGCTTGGGCTACTAATATATTATTTACATTTTACCCAAAGAAATAAATATCTCAGCTTGTAACTTTTTTTTGCAATCATCAACAATATTTTTAATTTTAATCAGAGGAATCGACTCAGAAAGTCAGAGGATTGAGCGACTTGATGCATTACTTCTTTTCCGTACCCTTTGCAAGGTTTGTTATGCATACAACTTCTGATGTTTTGACATGATAAATGCTCCCAAAGCACAATTCTAAATGGTTCTCTTTGGTTTCTTGTAGATGGGTATAAAAGAAGACAATGATGAAGTTACAACTAAAACCCGCATTCTATCATTGGAGCTTTTACAGGTGACTTATTTATATAATGGACTTGGTAGAAGTAAAACTTTCTTAACTAGTAAATATATATGACTTCCAGAGTTGCTAGTTTTGAAGTAAAACATGGAAAAAGATTGGAGTTCGAATACTTGAAATATATTTTTTACTGCATTGTTTTTAACCAAACATGGAAAAGGATTGGAATTCGAACACTTGAGTTCTAACTTTCTTGTCATGTTAATGTAATAAGATTGGAGGGAAACCATCTTTTTTCTGTTTCTTGTTTTCCTTTTTTATAATGCTTCTATTCTATTGCACAATGTAACTTAATGTTGTTGAATTCAATTAAATATCAAACAGTCTGTTTGATTTTCATATGTTACATGTAAAGCAATGCTCTGCTAATTGAATATTATTGGAAGCGATTAATTTCTACGAATGGAACATGTGTTCTTCTAATTAGGTCCGGAAACATGGAAATGTCCTGAAAGATAGATTTTACTAGTCTGCTCAGATTCTTGTTTTGTTTTTACTTTAAAATTTATAGCATCTTTCTGGCTGAAATTTTTATCATGTAATTGCAGGGTTTGTTGGAAGGTGTTAGTCAATCATTCACGAAAGATACTGATTTTATCGATTCTGTTAAAGTATACATTTCTTATGTATTGCTGCGAGCTTCGGTGTCACAGACTCCTGTCATATTTCAGGTATAGTTTTATAAAACCTTCCAGATTATTCATCATTAAACATAGTGTTATTTTATCGTATCTCTATTAACTTTGTCTCCCTATCTGACAGTACGCAACAGGAATCTTCTCTGTACTTTTGTTAAGATTCAGGGAAAGCCTCAAGGTATAATTGAAATTTAGAATGCTCTCCTTGAGCAAACTTTGGATTTTAGTTTCTTCATGAGAATGTGAATGCCATTTTCTTTATTTCTTTTTAGGGCGAAATTGGGGTTTTCTTCCCATTGATTGTTTTGCGCCCATTGGATGGACAAGACCTGAACACAAGAGCAAGTGTTCTCAAGTATGTGTTTTTTTCTCTCTAGCTTTTTTCATCATTGAGTCTTTGATGGTTAGCCCTGTCATTAAATAAACAACAACCCAGCTGAATCCCACAAAAGTCGGATCTAGGGAGGGTGTGTGTGTACGTAGACCTTACCCCTATCGAAAGTAGAGAGGCTATTTCCAAATGTCATTAAATAAACAAAGAGATGTAAATGTTCCCAGTGTAAGTGAGTGTGAAAGTAGAAAGGTTTACTTGTATTTCCTTATGTATAATATGCATAAAGAGTTCGGCATCACCCCCGAATTGGACAATGTAAGTGAATGTGAACGTAGAAAGGTTTACTTGTAACACCACCATCTCGGCATCTCCCCTGAATTGGAGCAAATAAAAAGACATTATAGACTAATTCTATATGACAGGCAGAGAATCATGTCTAGTTGAATTACTTATTGTATTTCATCTTGATTCTTCTAAGTTTCAATACCAAAATAAATTTGCAGAATGCTAGAGAAAATATGCAAGGACTCACAGATGCTTGTTGACCTTTATGTGAACTATGATTGTGATCTCAACGCTCCTAACTTATTTGAGCAAATGGTATTCTTGATTTCCATAACCTTATGCAACTGATTATTTTTTTACATGCCATACCTTTTATGCTTCTTATATGTTTAGTTATCCTCATTGCTTGTTGTTTTCTCTTTTAGGTGGCCGCCTTATCAAAAATTGGCCAAGGGACTCAAAGTCCTGATCCGAACTCTGTAGCTGTGTCTCAGATGAGATCGATTAAAGCTGCATCCCTGCAGGTTTCTCTTGGAATGTTTTGTTTTGAAGTTTATGCAGTTCAGTTATAGCTGATGCTCATTACTCTCCTTTTTGCTTGTTTGCTGGCATTTTTGTAGTGCTTTGTAAACGTGTTAAAGTCCCTTGTTGAATGGGAAAAACAACATAGAGAAGCTGACACAGCTTATCAAGGGAAACAGTCTTCTGGAGAAGGTTTGAATAAAGAACCCAATGACATAAGAGGCAGGGAAGATGTACCTACTGACTTTGAGAAGTTAAAGGCACACAAATCTACAATGGAAGCAGCTATTTCTGAAGTATGTATTTCACCAGTTTTGATATGCTCATTTTATTTCTATATGTTCTTTAACATTTGGTCTAGTGTGTCTCTCATTTTGTCAAGGTGCTCACTTCATATAGAATAATCTTAAACTATGAAACACTTGACAGTTTAATAGACAACCTGGTAAAGGGATAGAATATTTGATATCAAGTGGGTTGGCTGAGAGATCACCTGCATCAATTGCTCAATTTCTTAGGAGTACTCCCAACTTGAATAAGGTAAAAACAAAATACTCTGTCTTCTTTTATCCCCATTATATATTGTCACATTGGGGAAATATTTAATTTTGTCAGGTTTCAGGCTATGATTGGTGACTATTTGGGACAACATGAGGATTTTCCACTTGCTGTCATGCATGCTTATGTCGAATCTATGAGTTTTTCTGGGATGAAGTTTGATATCGCAATTCGTGAATTTCTTAGAGGATTTCGACTTCCTGGGGAAGCTCAGAAGATAGACCGCATGATGGAGAAATTTGCTGAACGGTAACTTTCTGCTTGCTTGTCCTGTATATATGTTGTGCACATTCGTTATTAGGCCACAGAAAGAAGATAGCATATATATTTCAACTAAGAGATATGACACTCAGTGTGCTGAATGGGAAATAAGTTCTCATCTAAATGCTTTCTTATTTTTATACATTACATGAATTAATTTTTAAAATACACTGGATAGTATTCATATCACTGTCTGGTTATTAAGACTAAAAGCAAACCATACCAAACCCAGTAGATCCACTCAGACCACTCAAGAGGCTGACGAAGCTAAGTATAGCAGTAAGTCAATAAATTAACCGAGACTAACTCGGGTCGTTTCACAAGGATTGGCGAAAGGAAGTATTTGTTAATTATCTTAATATTTTAATTCAACAAAACAATTAATTTGGGATTTAGAGCAATCAAGTTCAAAGCAAGATAAATAGCAGTAATATGATTAATTCAGTCAATAATTTGGAAATAGGTATGAATCGAACAGGTATATGGGCTAAAGTAATAATTTTGGATTAAATTAACTTCCTGATTAATTTGATTTTATATCATTAACTTATCCTATTTCTAGGCCTCATTAATGTGTCTAAGTATGGTTGGCTAGATTATTTTTCTTAACTCATAGACAAGCCAGACAAATAATCTCCAAAGATTAATTAATAAATTGGCCAGATCTATTAATTAGTGAATCTCATTTTAGACAAATAAATCAATTAATCACGTTGCTAACTTAATTTTAATTAATAATCATTAGCCCATATCCTTAATTCAATTCATACCTTAATAAAAGTTTAGCTACTAAAAGCCATATAAGCACACAATTTAAACTAAGCAATAAAAGATAATTTATTTAATAAAGAAAGAGTGTACAAGAAAGCTTACAAATCTTGAAGAATGGAATACAAATCGCACAAATCTTCAAATCAACACTCTAAGATGTTTAAGAAGAACTCTCAAACTCTAGCAAAGTGAAAAAGTGGAATTTTTGGATGATGGTGAAGGGAATGACCGAGTGGGGTATTTATACCCGAGCAGACCACACAGGCGGGCAGACAGGCGGCCGCCTGTCAGCCCGCCACCGCCAACATGAGAAGATTCTGGATCGGAGATTCTTCGAGAACAACGACAGACGGGCACGCAGGCGGCCGCCTGCTAGCCCGCCGGAGCCAATTTTCCCCATCTGCGCGTGTGTTCGCCGCCGGAGCCAACCCTCGCCGTTTGCTGATGCTTGGTAGGCGGCCGCCTGCCTGGTCGCCTGTCGTACACTCGGCTTCTTATCTCATATTTTGCTTCAAATTTGATTCTGAACACCTTTCTCTCTTGCTCTAACTTCCAATTCCATTCCAAGAGGAAAATATTACTAATTTCTTGTTGAAATCAAACTTATTTTTATTTTTCTTGGCCCATTCAATTTTACTACTCAAAAATATAGAAATATGACTTTTAATAAAAAATTATTCCTTAAGAAGTTATAAAAATATGTTAAATGCGAGGATAAAATTATGTATAAAACGACTTTATCAGAGGCTGATGAGATACAATTGTTATTTTTTTGTAGTTACTGTGCAGATAATCCCGACTTATTCAAGAATGCAGACACAGCTTATGTTCTAGCATATGCAGTTATAATGTTGAATACTGATGCACATAATCCTATGGTCTGGCCCAAAATGTCCAAGGAGGATTTTATTCGCATGAATGTCATGAATGAAGCTGAAGAGAGTGCTCCTAAGGAACTTTTGGAGGAGATTTATGATTCTATTGTCAAAGAAGAGATAAAAATGAAAGATGATCTTGTAACTCTTGCAAAAAATAACAAACACAAGCTGGAGTCGGAGGAGAGAGGTCGGCTTGTCAGTATTCTTAATCTAGCTCTTCCGAAAAGGAAGTCTTTGACCGACTCAAAGTCTGAGAATGAAGCAATCATCAAACAGACTCAAGCTATTTTCAGGAATCAAGACGGGAAAAGAAGAGTGTTCTATACTTCACACAAAATAGAGCTTGTGCGCCCAATGGTTGAAGCTCTGGGATGGCCACTGCTTGCTACTTTTGCAGTTACTATGGAGGAGGGCGAAAATAAAGCCAGGGTTGTTCTTTGTATGGAAGGATTAAAAGCTGGAATTCACATCACACATGTCCTTGGAATGGACACCATGCGCTATGCATTTTTGTCATATCTCTTCAGGTAATCTGTTTTCGCTTAATGGTTTTTAATTTGGGCTTATCTGTTTCTCTTCATTCTATTCATTGTTCTTGTTCTTGAAATCTCACTTGACTTGCAAATTACTATAGTATGACTTACCCGAAGATTTATTATTGTGTTCTGGGAAATTATTGCTGTAAATCTGTCATGTAATTTAACTGCTAGGTGACACTGTTTCTGGAAATGCATGGCAGATTTAATTTGTTGCACGCACCAAGGGATATGAGAAGTAAAAATGTAGAAGCATTGCGGACTCTACTATTAATATGCGATTCCGATCCTGGTGCATTGCAGGAGTCCTGGAATGCAGTGCTTGAGACTATTTCTCGACTTGAATTTATTATATCTACTCCTTTTATGGCTGCTAGTGTGATGCAAGGGTCTAACCAAATATCTCGAGATTCTCTTCTTCAGTCATTGAGAGAGTTGGCTGGCAAGCCTGCTGAGCAGGTGTTTATGAATAGTGTTAAATTGCCCAGTGAATCCGTTGTGGAATTTTTTACTTCTTTGTGTAATGTGTCTGCTGAGGAATTAAGACAGCTCCCACCACGTGTGTTCGGTTTGCAAAAGCTTGTTGAGATCAGCTACTACAACATGGCTCGCATAAGAATGGTAATATATGTATTCTATTCTTTTTATGTTTAAAATAAAACTGTTCATTAGAACTGCACCAAGCACTTGTATTTTTGCATTACGATATTAAGATGTTTGTGTGCATCTTGTCTCTTTGTGCTTTCTTTGCCCTTAACTTGCTCTTTGCTTTTCGCCACTACTTTGTTCTTACTTTGTTCGTGCTTTTGTGTCTACTTTGTTTCTTTACTTTGACTGCACTTGAGTTGGGGGTCTCTTGGAAACAACCTCTCTACTTTCATGTAGGGGTAATGTCTCTGGGTACATAGCCTCTCCAGACCCTCCGTTTGTGGGATTTTACTTGGTTTGTTGTTGTTGTTGTTGTTTGATATTAAGACATTTGTTCATATAGACCTTTGAAGTAGGCAAGTTAGCTGAAAGTGGCACAAAACATATAGATGCCCGGAGTTACAATGCCGTATAGCACAGAGTACTTTTTCATTCATCATATCTTGTACCCTATGATATTTTTTCTCATGATATGTCCATGTCAATAGTCAAGTTCCATGTTTTACATGTTGTAAATAGCACATCAGTTTTGCAATGGAACATGACCATAACTAATATTTCAACTCATTGCTGTATTTTCCATGCACTTAGAAAAACTATATGATGATAAGAGTTTCTGAATACCGTTTCATTATTCCCTATTAAGAAGTTTGTGACAAGAAAGATATCCGAGACATATTTTTTCATCATGATGCTTATAAGGTTGGAGAAGGCTTACAACACTGTCTCTCGTACATATGCATGCAAATGATATTCATCTTATTTACTGTGCAAACAATTTAATTTTGTTTCTGTAAATACCATTGTACTGCGTATTTCTTAAATCCTCAGGATTTTTGCAAATCCTTTTCAGGTATGGGCTAGAATATGGTCTGTACTGGCTAGTCATTTCATTTTTGCTGGGAGTCACCCTGATGAAAGAGTTGCAATGTATGCCATAGATTCTCTGCGGCAACTTGGGATGAAATATTTAGAGCGTGCAGAGCTTGCCAATTTCACATTTCAGAATGATATTTTAAAGCCATTTGTAATTCTTATGCGCAACAACCAAAGTGAATCCATAAGGAGGCTTATTGTTGATTGTATAGTACAGGTATTCCCAATTTGTTTTGGAGAAGATTCACATAATTTTAGATCCATCTGAAACTTGTCTCATTCAAGATTTTCGGTGCATTGCCAGATGATAAAATCCAAAGTTGGAAGTATAAAATCTGGCTGGAGAAGTGTATTCATGATTTTTACAGCTGCAGCTGATGATGATTCAGAACAAATTGTTGAGAATGCCTTTGAAAATGTGGAACAAGGTAAGAATAAACCATGTTCTCTATTTTTCTCAATCCTGTACTGGTTTTCATTTGTTTAAATGCATCAACACTAATGCTGAAGCTACTTGCAGTTATCCTGGAACATTTTGATCAGGTAGTTGGAGATTGTTTCATGGATTGTGTGAATTGCTTAATTAGGTTTGCCAATAATAAGAGCTCACACGGAATCAGTTTGAAGGCTATTGCACTGCTCCGCATTTGTGAGGATCGGCTTGCGGAGGTTTGTTTCCATGCATTTTGTCAAATTAGTTTTATATTGGCTTCACAAAGAATTATCAATTTTTATGGTCTCTCCAAAAAAGATGTATCTTGTTCTTGTTCTCTCTCAACTCATGTTTTTTTTCTTATACTCCTTATGCCCTATTTTTTGAGTTCTTTCTTTCCTTTTACTGACGTTCCAAAATAAGTTCCCATTTCTTTTGATGAAAGGATGCTGTGGTACATATTATTTCTGCCACTTCTACATAAATCTCTGTACCCAATTTCACCTTTTCTTAAGCTTAGTGAAAAAGAAAAAGAAAACTTAAACATACGACATGTGGAGTATATCACTACTCCCTCCATCCCAGACAAAAATTCCTAGCTTGACTTCACTGAGCTTAAGAAAAGTGTTGAGAAGGAAACCCTGAATTTAGTTTTGGGACGCAGGGTGTATACGTTGAGGCTGTATGTTGGATCATATTTTGCATGACATCTTAAATATATTTCTATGATCTTCACTTTCAGGGCCTTATACCAGGTGGAGCTTTGAAGCCCATTAACGATAATGCAGATACGTCTTTTGATGTTACTGAGCACTATTGGTTTCCGATGCTGGCTGGTCTTTCAGATCTAACATCCGATCCTCGGCTAGAAGTTAGAAATTGTGCACTAGAAGTTTTATTTGATCTACTGAATGAAAGGGGCAACAAGTTTTCATCCTCATTTTGGGAAAGTATATTCCGGAGAGTGCTCTTTCCCATTTTTGACCATATCCGACATGCTGGACAAGAGAATTTGACATCTAGAGATGAGTGGCTACGCGAAAGTAGCATTCATTCACTCCAGCTGTTGTGCAACCTATTCAACACATTTTACAAGGTGATGTGTTATCTGATTTCCACTTCTCACTTCCTATGATGTAGAATGTTAGTGTTCAATTTTGATAGTTAAGCTGTATTTGTAGATGTGAATGAGGGTGTAAACGGATACTACATGGATAAGATGTGGCATTTCCATATACATATCCGAATAATTTTTTTTATCGAATATTGGATCACATACACATCTTGATGGATGTTCAAAATCAGTATCCATATCTGCATCCGTAGGACATCAAACAAATATTGGATATATTTGCATCCGATTATTAAATTGAAAACTATTTAATACTTGAATGTCTAATTTGCTTGTATTTCTGTATATGTATAATCTACTTGTTTACAAAATAACACACACGAATATTGTATACATAGATGTCTTAAACGTGCAGATATCATACCCTCCCATTACACCTAAGTTTTACATATGTATGTGCACTTACACAATACACACAAAAGACAAATGTCTTTACATATATCTTGTAAAATATCAACCTTTGTACTTATAATTATTGAAAAAATAATTTTGAAAAGCTATCAAACACTATCAATAGATCCATCTGTCATTTAACTTTAGAGCATCACATATTACAAAAAGCATCTAAAAGTTTAGTTTGTATGGAGTATGTATGCATTCAGAGCGGATACTAAAAGAATTGAGTATCGAATTACAATAACTAAATCCATTTATGACTAGATATCATTAATCACAACAACACCAACAACGAAAAACCTAGTATAATCCATCAAACTCTGTTGGGGTCTTGTGGGTCAAGATGTATGCAACTATACCCTTGTAAAAACTAGCATGTAAGCAGCTAGGGAAGTTCATATGCCTTTTTTATTTAGTTCATAATTTACCAAAACAATAATATTACCAATAACAACTCTTTTAGCTCCATTGGCAATGGATACAGATACAGTTGATATCTGCTATAAACATATAGGGATAATATGCCTTGTAAATGAATACATATAACATATAGTAATTGAATTTTTGGCTATCCATCTATAATCCTAGATGTATCAGTAATCAGTATATTCCATTGTGTTTACATGCATTGATTGCCTGAGGAAATTTTGAATTCAGACATTTCTGTCTTTAAGCTCTTAATTTTTATGCACTCATAACTTCTGATTTTTTTAGTTTGGTTATTTTGCGATCCTGTCAAATCATCTGCCCTAAGATTGTAACATGTGCATGATATATCATTTTTTTATCTTAGGATGTTTGTTTTATGCTGCCTCCACTTCTTGGCTTGCTGTTAGATTGTGCCAAAAAAACTGATCAGTCAGTGGTGTCACTTTCGCTGGGTGCACTAGTGCATCTGATTGAAGTTGGTGGACACCAATTTAGTGACAGCGATTGGGATACCTTGTTACAAAGCATAAGGTGTGTGCTAATGTGTGGTGCTTTGTTCAGATACCTCTTTTGGAAACTCTGTAGTCTTTACTATTGTATGCTTGATTTACTCAACATATATTGTTTTACCCAGAGATGCTTCATATACAACACAACCCCTTGAGCTGCTGAACGATTTAGGTTTTGAGAATGCAAAGGACAATGCACTAGGAGATGCTAAAGTTGCTTCAGCTCGCACTGTTACCCAAATGTCTGATGGGGGTACACTTGGTAGTATTTCAGAAGGCAGTGACTCTGATAGCACTGCAAAGCATATTGGATCAGAGAAGCTGGATGAAAAGCAAGGGGTGATTCGGCCTGTTGATCAGGATGGAAATGAAGGTAACTACTTACTACTACAGAAGTGCTATAGTTTGAGTCTTACACTGCATGTCTCTAGCAAGAAAAATATATAATTCTTGTGGTTAAATACCTGTTGCTGGAATAAGCACAAAAAAGACATCTTAAAGAGGAAAATTCACTTCTCATGTACAGGCATACCCTCACCTTCTGCAAGAACTAAAGTTTCTGGAGAACTTCAACGGAGTCAAACAATAGGTCAAAAAATTATGGTAAATGTGATGGATAATCGCTTCCTTAGAAGTTTTACATCTAAACCCAGAAGTCCAACTGCTGAAGCTTTGGCACCTTCATCTTCCCCCAAGGTATTTAACATTTAATGTCCACCGTAGTTAGGTTGTTCTCTCCTTTTAAAATCTTAGTTGCATTTCATGTTGCTATTTTTCTTTTAATTTTTTAATGTTGCTTGCTAATGATGACATCCCAAAACATTAGAAGTTTTGTTACTGGAAAAGAACCCAACACCTGCACCAGGTTGTTTTGTAGTGCTCATTTTCTCCCAAAAGTACAACTGGACCAAACTGTATAACTTTGAAGTGGGGTTTTAGCCAGATAAGATGACTTTGAGGGAAAATTTGCTCAACTCTACATTTTATAAGAATATCTTTGTAGTGTTTAAGGTCATAAGGTGTTTTAAGGTTTAACTCGACAAATACTTTTTGCCATACCAAGAACAACAACAAAGCCTTACCCGATCCCACTAGGTGTGGTAGGCTACTTGGATCAAACAATGCCATTGCACCACATCTAAAGCAAGATCATTCACGCGAAGGTCCCCTTTGACAACGTAGATATAATTATGTAAATGGTCATATATAAATATATCATAGCATTTTCATTACGACGCCATACCAGGATCAATTTATGTTGTTTTTGGCGTTCATAATGGTTTGTGCCTATACGCTTAATTTGTAGTTTTCCCATGATATGGAGCCTGATGCAAGAGAAGAGGAAGAAAGTTTAGTGTTGGCTACCATTCGAAGCAAATGCATCACTCAATTGTTGCTTTTAGGTGCCATGGATAGTATTCAGGTATGATATAATTCTGAGTTTTAGAGTTAAACTTGATAACTTTCATGTTTCATCCATTTCCCAGAAGCAAAATAAAACAGATCATTTGTTTTTCTGTTATTCGTATTTGAATATTAGTCAGGTATTTTTTTCTTGGAACACAAGTTATCTTAAAAGTCATTATTACCACGGAATGGTTCCAGTGACACTGGAATTTGGTGTCACCTGATCTACGGTTCTCCGTTCTCAAAATTGATGGTTCTTACCCCCTGCCCCACCACAGCACCCTTCTCTAATCACCGATTGGCTACAGTTTCACTTTAGCCAATTGGCAATCAAGGGTTAGATGGGGTAGGAGCTGTCAATCTTGTGAACGGAGCACTTTGGGTGCTCCAAATGGCCTCGAGTGTTACTAGAACCAGAACCAGCCTCTTACAGAACGGTTCAGTCACTTCATTGACACTGGAGTTTGGTGTAATCCGATGACACTGGGCACCTACGCTGCTCCATTCTCAAAATAGATGGTTTCTACCCCCTAAATCTCCCTCCTCCCACCCCTGCCCACCTCCCTTGGATCGCCAATTGGGTGATCCAAAGGATGGAGCCATCAATTTTGCAAACAGTAGTTGCCCCAAATGGACCAGTTTCATTGGATGACACTGGCCTCCAGTGTCACCAGAACCGGCCCGTTATTACTCACCTAGCTTCTAAACCTACGGAGATGTCTTCTTAGTTTTATTAAATTATATTGCATTACAAACATACACTTCCATCGAAGGACAAATATATATTTGACATGAATGTTGAAACTAACTACCTCATACGAGGTTAACTGTTCAGTGCTCTTAAACCATTGCCTTCGTTTCCCATCTCTTTTGGGTTTGTCTTGATAGGAGAGATGAAACTTAGCTAGAGTGTGAAAGGAGGTCATGTTTGTAGTGCCATTCTGAAGAGGCCATGATCAATGACATTTTGAAACATTTTTGCTCTTTTTATATTACTAGTTTCATTTAACTAATTATGATGATTCTAATCTAGATTTTGTTCCTCTTATCTGGATTCAAAATATGCAGAAGAAGTACTGGAACAAGTTGAAGGCCGCACATAAAATCACTATACTGGACATTTTATTCACAGTGCTAGAGTTTGCTTCATCTTATAACTCATATGCAAGTCTCAGAATGCGGATGCACCAAATTCCTGCAGACAGGTCAGGCTCATGTGCTTATGCCTTATGTGCAATGGTTTATTTGTTGTTCTCTTTCGATACAAAGGGCTCTCTATAATGGTATTGCACCTTGTTTGCAGGCCGCCATTAAACCTACTCCGCCAAGAGTTAGCTGGAACTTCTATCTACCTTGATATCTTACAAAAGACAACCACAGAATTTTATACTGAAAAAGATGGATTGGATGAAAAAGGTATTTCTCAAAACGGTGATCATGTGGTGGGGAGAAGCGATGCCACATCAGTGGGAAAAGTAGAAGAAAACAAACTTCAGGGACTAGCAGAAGAGAAGTTAGTGTCATTTTGTGGACAGGTTTTGAGTGAAGTGTCAGACTTCCAGTCGTGCATGAGGGAAGATGCTAATATGGATGTTCATCGGGTTCTAGAATTAAGGTCTCCCATCATTGTTAAGGTATTAGATTCATAATCACTTGAGCTAAGGACTAGTCAAAAGTATCCACATTTTATTTTGGTACTAAAGCGTGCAAGATTGTTGTCTTCTCTTTATACACAGACTCCCGCGCTACGCTTTAGATTGAGGGATTCTGGAAGTAGGGGTAGTTGATAATTTTTCTTAAAAGATCGGTTTTTGGGAGACTAAAAAAGTGATTAAATTTTTTTAGTTAATATTTCGTATTCTCTTATCTTGCTACCCCCTTCTCAACCTTTATTGAGTCGCCCCCTCTGTCCCTACAAAAGAGTCGTGTGTCATCAAAGTATACATTTCTAATTGTGGAATGGTACAACTATTGTTAATCATCCCTCATGTTTATATTTTTAGGTGCGACTTCTTCATTAAACTAAAATTAGCATACTTGTGTTTTTTTTTTGGAAAATCACATCAAATTCAATGAAAGTTAACCTCGTTTGCTGAAACATGGCTCTTTTATTTAGGGTTGTGGACAATATATGAAGGGTACCTTCGCTCTTTATAGATGTGTTACATTGCAAAAGGAAGTAGTTTTGGTAAATCTTCTAGGATTCTTGTATTAATACACCCTGGGTTTTCAGGTGTTGAAGGGAATGTGCTCAATGAACAGAAGAATATTCAGAAGTCACCTACGAGAGTTCTATCCTTTGATTACCAAACTTATATGTTGCGACCAGGTAATTCTCATCTACGTGTCTAAATAACTCCCCTCCCCTCCTCTCCCCAACCCCCTTTGTTTTTGTTTGTTTGTTCCATCTTTTGGGGTCTGTTTGGATCCTAGGAAAACATTAGGGGAAGAAAACAAGATGCAAAACATAAAATAGAACTGGAAAGAAAATATGGGGGATAATAAGAGTTAAAAAAACTGAATAAATTTATTTTAGATATTTGTTGATACTTATTTCATTTATTTATGTGTACTTGTGTAGTACATTTAGAATTAGGCATCTTAACATCACGCCCGTCTAAACATATGCAAACACAAGTTAACAAGTTTGATAGTTCGTTTTCATTTGCAAAATAGAACATAAAAAACCTCTTTTTTTTTGCTAAATGCTCCAAAACCCATGATTCGAAACAAATCAGGTCTTCTGTTTTAGAAATTTGTAACAAAAAAGGCTCAAATGAAATGTAGTTTTATATATTATGCATAAAAATTTATTCTGGGCGAAAATATGTTTGATTTGATAGATTATGTTTAATTAAACAAGGGGTCCTAAATGTGTAACAAAAAGGTTTGACAGTCAGAGTCCATTAGAGGCTTAGGACCATTTTGTTTAAACATACAAGTAGTATAATATAAACTAAATATATTTTCAACAAAGGCAACTTTTATGCATAATTATATAAAAGTTCATTTCGTTTGGACCTTTTTCTTTACAGAAGACCTCTTTGTAACAAAAAAGGCTCAAATGAAATGTAGTTTTATATATTATGCATAAAAATTTATTCTGGGCGAAAATATGTTTGATTTGATAGATTATGTTTAATTAAACAAGGGGTCCTAAATGTGTAACAAAAAGGTTTGACAGTCAGAGTCCATTAGAGGCTTAGGACCATTTTGTTTAAACATACAAGTAGTATAATATAAACTAAATATATTTTCAACAAAGGCAACTTTTATGCATAATTATATAAAAGTTCATTTCGTTTGGACCTTTTTCTTTACAAATTCCCGTGCCTGGAGAAGGTGTTATTTAATTTTGGGACAAAGGGAGTAGAGTCAATAGAACACTTTGGCATTCTCTATCTTCTCACCACTTGCTATGTTTAATTTGGTCTTAAATTGGCTATTTGTCATTTTGCAATGCACATTTCTCAGATGGACGTGCGCGGAGCTCTCTCAGATCTGTTCACTAACCAGTTGGCTGTGCTGTTGAAGTAACAACTTCTCAATCCCGAGAAATGGTAATGTGTGAAGCCATTTTCAATATCTTTTACTTGTCATTTCCCCCCTTTGTTCAACCTTTTCGCCATCCTTTTGTAGACTGTTTATGGCCTGTTTGTTCCATCCTATGTAGTTAGCAGAATACAAGGTTATCTATAGTGCAAAAAATTTTACCAATCAAAAGAGTAAATCTATCAAGTTTTGTGTTAGGGTAGTTTTCCCAAGTGTATGTTTATGGTAAGGCAGTAAAGGCAGTGGAATCGAAAATACTCAAAAGTGTGAAGGTTTGGAAATCAAGATAATTTCTTCATTTGGTGCCCTTGGTAATCTTAACGTTGCCGTTTTGGGTGGTCGTGGACATCCAAGATTTTGGCCGCTCATATTGGTGATCTCTTAAAAGGGTTTCTCTTCAATCTTTTCTTAATAGTCATGTCATTTTCTTTATTATATTAGACTTCGAAACTTGTGGGCACATGTTACAGAAATGGATGAAAGTAATGTAGTCGCTAGGTATTGATGATCCATGAATTGTTTTTGCATCTTCCGAATATGATTGTGTAGAGTTGTTAAAAAAGGATGCAATCAATGTCTCTTATGACCGCCGTGATAGTTATTTCAAAGAATGTGAATTGGGCTATAATTTTAGTTAGAGAGAAATCATGACTTGCGACTCACTAAGTGACCCTTGACTACCACGGTCTTGCTCCAGAAGAGAGATAGAGACCAATGTAGATTTGGGTGGCAATGGAGACGTGTCAATCCTCGTACTAGTGACCTTGTCGAGGAGTTCTTGATGATTTGGTGTGTTCTTGCTTTCCCAATGGTTGTTCTTAGCAAGTCAAGTTGAGCCATGCCCATGTGGGTAGGTTGGCCAACGAAAGGGTGTCGAGGACACTTTTCTTGTTTGTTTGGATAGGTGTTGATTTTATAGTTGTGCTTGTTCCTTGAGGAGGAGATCTTAACCTATACACGAAGAAGGCTAGGGTGCATCGTCAATGACGACTAGGATGCCTTGTAAAGGAGGATTTTAGTTGCCTCTTGAGAGAGAGCTTAAAGGAAGAAAGAATTACCTGAAAAAGAACATTTGTACTAATTTCCTTAGTGGTTGTTGAAGCTTTGGTCATACAAAGGAAGACCAAGATATGGTCCAGGGACCCACTGATCTAGCTTGACTAGAAAAAAAAATGTTTAAGTGGAGAGAGTTCATGGCTCAGAACTTTATGTTTCATAAACTTGGTCGTAGCTAGATTTGATCAAAGTACGGGTCGGGCTAGGTCAAGGTGCTAGGTTCGAAGTATTTCTAGCCTCGAGCCTGTTCCATCGCGCTCAATGAGCCAAATAATGATTTAGCACAAGAGAGAGCTATGCCCTAAAAGCTAGCTATTAAGGTAGGAGAACCCTTGGCTATATAAACCCATCACCAAGTCCCCCATTTAACCGGTGTAGGACAATGATATCAGTCCGTATTATTCGACCCCCCATAAGGCCCAACGTCCTCGTTGATCACGGCCATGCTGGTCACGGCTGGTTTAACCAAGCCACCATTCCGTGGGCCACCACTCCGAGTTGGCTCTGTTACTATTGTCTCACACCGGTTAAATGTGAGACTTGGTGATGAGTTTATATAGCCAAGTGTTTTCTTACCTTAATAGCTAGCTTTTAGGGCGTGGCTCTCTTTTGTGTTGTATCAATGGTATCAGAGCCAACTCGGAGCGGTGGCCTACGGAGTGGTGGCCTGGTGAAATCAGCCGTGACCAATGTGGTCGTGACCAACGTAGCCGTGACCAGCGAGGATGTTGGGCCTTATGGGGGATCGCATGATATGGACTGATTCATTGTCCCACACCGATTAAATTGGGGACTTGGTGATGGGTTTAAATAACCAAAGGTTCTCCCACCTTAACAGGTAACTTTTTAGGTGTGGTTCTCTCTTGTGCTGTATCAAATAATTGCAACCCGAGCCTGCTCTCATGGTAATCATGGACTTCGGGCCAACCTGACCCACTTTAGAAAATACACGTAACTTTCAAGTGCCTCAAAGTAATGTAAAGAGGAAGAGTTCAAAACTCGAAACCAATTATGAAAAATAATGAAAAACTAATACTCTATACAAAGTAGAAAAGTAATATGGAGATTGAAGGCGTGCGGCAGTGCGAAGGAAAAAAAGAGATTAAGGGGCTGTTTGGCAACTTCTGAATAGGTAAGTGCTGAACCAGTAAGAGGTCTAAACCATTAAGTGCTGAACCAGTAAGAGGTTTGAACCATTAAGAGCTAGTATATTGCTTAATTATTCAGAGGCAAATGTCTGATCAATTCAGATAAGAGCTCTTAACCATTTAGACTCTGTATAATATTTAACCATTCAGAGGCAAATCTCTTAACCATTCAGACATCTGAACCATTAAGAGGCTGAAACAAACAGTCTGAACCATTAAGTGCTGAACCATTCAGACATCTGAACCATTAAGAGGCTGAAACAAACAGCCCCTAACTCTCTGACAGTGCATTGCTCCCGAACACCAAGGAGAAACAAAGATACCATAGTACTCCACGTTAAATAAACCTAGGCCTTGTGGTTTACATAAAGGGAGTCAAAACTTGTTTTGTTTTCAAAAATTATTTGTAAAGTTCCTATGGTTTTCAAATAGAGCACATATGCCCCTTACTTATTTTTAAAGCAAAAATGATACTAGTAATCAGATCAAGTTCTCTACTAGTAATTTGTTGGCTTAATTGAATCCTAAGAAAGTATTGAAAATGCTCTCTGTACTCTAATAATTTTTTGATTAGCCTATATGTGCTATTCCACCTAATTGTTATGTCTTTAGGGAAAGTATGCGATCAAACACCCTTATCTCGCGGCGTTGCTTCCACAGCGTCGAGCTCTTATGACTCTCCAAAGAAGCCGTAAGTTCGCTTTGGCATGCATCATTAGCCCACCCATGATCGTTAGGCCATGTTGCACACCCGAATTCAACACGTGACATTCACAACATTTGTGTAGAAATCTACCCAAGTCGGAGTCACGGGGCAAATTGTCACATAGTTCGTTCACCGCAGCAGTGTTGTTCCTTGCATTGGCGAATCTGAAGGCAAAAACTTTGTTAACCAAATTATATTCAGCAAACACTTGGTCAATCAAGATTACAATATTCACAACGTTATGAGTCACATTAAAATCACGAAAGGAAAGCAAACGTATATGCATTCGCCACTAGCTCATCATCAATCCAATTAGAAGTGATACCCATCCTCTTCCTCCTTGTCATCATCCTCGACACCTCGAACATATCGACCATAAGGCGATTGTCAACACATTGTTATTTATCCACAATGAATTGAAGCAAGACCTCATTGCTAACGTATTGCTCAAATCGTAAACTTGGGAGAGAGAGTGTAAGCTTGGGAATTAGGTAAGTATGTGTGCAGCGACGGGTAAGCTTGGGAGGCAGAGTGTTGTCCTTAGGATGTGTTTGCCGCGGAGCCGGAGGGAGCCTTGGCTTGCCAATTCCATCGTTGGTCTAATGATTCAAGATCGACGAATCGTCGTGAATCTATTGCAGAATAGTAATGACAATCATATGGGTTTAATATGAATGGTAAAAAATTTATATAATATGTGTATAGTAAAACAATAGTATTATAGTATTAGTATTTAATAATAATAACACTTATAATAATTTTTTTTGCTTCATTTATCCTAAATTTTTTGAAAATTACACAGATTCACCATAAACTTTAAAAATTGTACCAATGCCCCATGAACTTTTAAAAATGTTGCACCACCCGTTCTTTCGTGTCAGATTTGAGAGCAAGTTAATCACACGCTATTCAATATACGTGTTGGTGCTTGATGAAAATGTCATGGATTGATAAAGATGTTGATCGATTGATGACGAGTTTTAGCAACTAATGTCCGTGTTAGTTTTAACGGTTGACACTGGCAGGAAACGTTAGTTCAATTTAAAAAATTTGCACTGACATTTTTTACCAATGTAAAGCATCACACTAACATCAGACTAGCACAAAATGTTGGTGCATGTCTTTGGAGTATAAAATGAGATACAAATTTTAGTGTACAAATAGCTTAATTCTTTTCCGAAATCAATATTTTTCATATTTTGAAACCGACCCTATACTAGTGAATCGTGCAAGTTTTAGAGTGAAAAATAGCAAGGATGATATTTATTGGAGTAATTTTCAAAGTACAATTGAATTTAAATGAACATCCTACCCCTTCCCGAAGTAATGCTAAGACTAGATCTACAAGTATCAAATCATCATATGACTTAAGTCATTATGATCCATTAATGGGCATATTATATGCAAAGATGTTTTCTTTATTTCGTAATTAAGGATTTGAAGATTGTTACCAACATATCATGCAATTTCTCCACATTTTAAATGGCATATAAACAATATGGACTATACATTTTGTCAAACCCCAAACTAACCGGGCTTACAAGATATTTAGCTTATTACACTAATTAAAATCGGCCCGGTTCAGTGGCCACTGGATTCCAGTGGCCACGGAAGTCACTGCCCCCCTACAGAGCTCCGTTCATAAAATTGATGATTCCTACCTCATAATCCTCCGGTAAACTCCCCCTCCGAGTCCCGACCCCAACTTATCCCCCCACCTACGTCAATTGCACCTCGTAAGTATAGTTGATTTTAAAGTCAAAAGTTTTGACTTTAAAGTCAATTTTACTTACGAGGTGCAATGAACGTAGGTGGGGGATGAGTTGGGGTCGGGACTCGGCGGAAGGGTTTACCGGGGGATTAGGGGGATATGAATCATCAATTTTATGAACGGAGCTCCGTAAGGGGGGCAGTGGCTTCCATGGCCACGGGAATCCAGTGGCCACGGAACCTAACCGAATAAATATTCCCTCCATCCTAATAAAATATTTTTTATTTTGATTTTTTCATCAAATTTGTCACTTTTTTAATCATAATTTGAATATAATTTAAATAAAAAAATAATTATAAAAATTTGATAAACCAAAATTATACGAGTATCTAACATGAAACTAATTATATTGAATTTATATTATAATTAAGTAAATTATATTTTATTCACAACTTTTGGTTAAAGAATGTCATAGTTTGTAATGAACCTTAGTTTCATGGAAAAAAATTTGCCCAAAAAACAATAATAACAATTGTAATAATAATTGAAATAGGAATGATATGAAGAATGTTTGTAAATAATTTTTATAGTCAGTGTCGGAGAAGATTTGAAAAAATTCAAAAGAGTAAGAAAGCCTGAAAAGAATTAAAAGGGGTTGAATAAAATTAAAAGAGTTGGAAGAATTCGGAAGTCTGGAATAGAGTAAATAATACTCCCTCCGTCCCCCTGTATTTGTCCACATTTGACTTTTGGAACTACTCATCTAAGCACTTTGACTCATCAAATTCTCTCAATGTGTAAATATTACTCGGTAGAGGTGGCAATCGGATCAACCGGATCGGTTTCGGGTTGGATTTTTTCGGTTCAGATATCTTTCGGTTATAT